CCAGGCTGGCCTCGAACTCACAGAGATCCGCCTGGCTCTGCCTCCCGAGTGCTGGGATTAAAGGCATGCGCCACCACCACCCGGCAATTGTTAAAATTTTTAAAAAGCCAGCCTTCCTCCCTGAGGACACACATCTGGAAACCCATGAGTCCCACAGCACGTGCTGGGTCCGTGGCTCCCTAGCCTGAAGGGGCAATGAACAGGCCGCCTAACTCACTCCAGAACCTTCACCACCCGGCAGAAAAGAGAAGACCTTGGGCTGAGCACACCCTACAGCGTGGCCCCGGACCCAGGCCATGCTGGAGGGGCAGTGCTGAGGTCAGCATCCTCAGCACACCAGGTCTGCTGTCATCCTTCCTGGGACCATCCTCTCCTGTTCCCTGGAGAACTTCACCTGCAGCCCAGGGTCTCACTGCGTGGCTCTGGCTGGCTTGGAACTTGCTCCATAGATGACCTTGAATCTCTGTAAGATCACCCTGCCTCTGCCTCTCAAGGGGTGGGATTACAAACATTCACCCCCACACCTGGATCTCCTGATATTTAGTAAAACACATCTTTTAATCTTTTGTTTGAGACAGGGTCTCAGCTCTAACTCTGGCTGTTCTGGAACTCACTGTGTTTTCCAGACTGGTTTCAATATCTGCCTGCCTGTCTCCTAAATGCTGGATTAGAGGCATAAGCCACCACAGCTGGGCTGTCAATATCTTCCTACCAAAACGTTTTAACCTGAAGACTTGAGCCACGGCTGGGCATGATGGCACACCTTTGATCACAGCACTGGGGAGGAAGAGGCAGGCGGATCTCAGTGAGTTCGAAGCCAGCCTGGTCTACAAATTGAGTTCCAGGAGAGCCAGAGCTGTTACACAGAGAAACCCTGTCTTGAAAACAAAAAAAGAGTTGAGCCACAAAGTGGAATAAAAATAAGTATTACATTTTCAGTAAAAATTAATAAAGTCATGAGCATCAGAGTGCACAGTACTGTGTCTCAGAATTCAGGATCCTTATGCAGGAGGATCTTGGGTTCAGGGCTAGCCTATGCTACATAAAGAGACCCTGTGTCAAGCAGAAACCCAAAAGTTACTGTCACCCTCAATTATATACAATATCAAAAACAAAAACAGATGAGTTAAAAGCTCCTGTTAACTATTTCAGAGAGTTCAAGGCTAGTCTGGGCTACATGAGATCTTGTCTCAAAAAAATAAAAACAAAAGCAAAAATTAATAAAGCTACAATTAATTTGGAGAACTACATTCACAAAATTAAGACCAAGATTTCCAGGAGCTGTTGATCTGAAAAGACATGTTCAAGGGGAGGAGGGCCCAGTTCCTAGTGTCTCTGTTGTGTCTGTGGCCACAGTGCCACCCCATACAGCTGGAAGGCTCTAGGTCAGCAGCGAGAGGACTGTGGACAGGGTGCATCTTCCCACAAGGCTGAGGCAGGTGAGGGGCTAGGAGAGTTTCTTGAAGCTGCCTTTTCTAGGGGTGGCTGGCATGCACCTGTGCTGTGCCTTGGGCCTCAGCGAGCTCTTCTGCACTGTCTGTGGCAGGAGACCAGGCCAGGCAGCTTTTGGCTACTCTAAAGGTGGTGGTCAAGCTGTCTGTCAGCGCTGGGACACTGAACTGTATCACACACTGCAGTGTTCTCCTGGACCAACCAGACTCCCTGAGAACAGAAGGCAAGGCACTCGTACCACTTCCCTGGCTGTCCCCCACATACTACAGGGCGCCGTGGAGGGTGCCACGAAGCACAGAGCTGTGGCCATGTCAGCTCACCCTACCTTTGTCATGGTGATGCCAGCCTCCAGCGTAGTAATCCTGAAGGACCTGGGGTGGAGTCCAGGTGTCCAAGATGTAATCCACCTGATGCTGTTTCCGCCAAGTTAGAGACTGGCACATGATCTCTCTGGCTTTGTCAATATTAAAATCCCGGGCACGCAGAAACCGGAGAATGTGCTCATCCTTCGGAATCTAGGAGAAGACAGGTCTCTAAGCCAAGTGGGAGCTGCTGGAGAGAAAGTCAAACCTACTGTGGTAATCTGAATGTAATTGGCCCCTAAGCTCGTAGGGAGTGGCACTATTGGGAGATGTGGCCTTGTTGGAGGAGGTGTGGCTTTGTTGAAGGAAGTGTGACACAGTGGAGGTGGGCTTTGGGGTCTCATATATGCTCAGGTCACACTAGTGAGACAGTTCACTTTCTGTTGCCTGTGGATCAAAGATGTAGGACTCACCAGGCGGTGGTGGCACACACCTTTAATCCCAGCACTCGGGAGGCAGAGGCAGAGGCAGAGGCAGAGGCAGAGGCAGGCGGATTTCTGAGAGTTCGAGGCCAGCCTGGTCTACAGAGTGAGTTCCAGGACAGGCTCCAAAGCTACACAGAGAAACCCTGTCTCAAAAAAAATAAATAAATAAAACCCTGTAGGACTCTCAGCTTGGTTTCTTCTCCAGCACCACATCTGCCTGTACTCCATGCTGCACCATGTGATAATGGATTAAACCTCCAAAAATGTGAGCCACCCCAATTAAATGTTTTTCCTTTATAAGAGTTGCCATGGTCATGGTGTCTCTTCACAGCAATAGAAACCCAACCTAAGACACCTACCTCCTGCCAACAGTGAGCCATGCTGTTCACAGTGCCGAGAAGCAGCATCCCTAGGTTGAGCACAGTAAATGCTTTTCTAGCAAGTACAAGGCAAGGGTCTATCCCTTGCACCACCAAAAACTGCTGCCAGAGAAGTCACCCCCAGTGTCATGAAAAAAGCAGTCAGTACTGGGATAAACCATCCTGACTGTACCATTTTCAACTCAGCAAAGTAAAGTGGAAGCAAACTGATCTCTGTTTGTTTGAGGCAGGGTCTCACTATAAAGCTCTGCCTGGAACTCACTATGTAGACATTGACCCCTTTGCCTCTGCCTGATTAAAGGCATATACCATCACAACCGGCTGTAAACAGACTACTTAAACATCTGGCTGCTGTGTGAATTGTAGCAAGACAGCTTTTCTGTACACAGTACACTTCAGGTGCTGGTGTGTGTAGACATACCGGAATGTTCTCCTCCCTAGGATGCTTGCCTGAATAATGAACAAGCCTGAGGCTGTGTTCCCAGCCTACTCTGGGCCAGGTATCTCCCCCAAGGCTAGATATTCATGAATGAGGGTAGTGGGACCATCATGGGCCAGGAAGTGAGTAGGAACAGTAGCCTCCCATGACCCTTCCTGGCCATGTGAGACAAAGCCAGTGCTAAGGACATGGCATCAATCATTTGAAAAGAATTAGTCACCCAAGTGATTAAGAATGGAGGTGGCCGGGCAGCAGTGGTGCATGCCTTTTAATCCCAGCACTTGGGAGGCAGAGCAAGGCAGATCTCTGTGAGTTCGAGGCCAGCCTGTTCTACAGAGCAAGATCCAGGACAGACACCAAAACTACATAGAGAAACCCTGTCTTGAAAAACCAAAGAATGTCGGTGTTGGGAGTCGGGCATGGAGGAGGGTACACACACCTAACCTCGGCACTCAGTTGGCGGACACCAGAGGATCAAGAGTTTTCTACTATTTGGGGCTGGAGAGACAGATCAGTGGCTAAACATGCTGTGTAGACATGCATGTAAGCAAAACACCCATAAACATAAAATAACAAACATTAAAAAAATCTTTTTCCAAGTTTGAAGCTCAATAAGACTCTCCCAAAAAAGAAAGTGGAGGAGGCAGGGCTGAAGAGACGGACGGCTCAGCAGGTAGGGCACCGGCTGCTCTTCCAGAGGACCCAGGTTCAATTCCCAGCCCTCACAGGGAGGCTCACAACCATCTCTAACTCCAGTCCCAGGGAGTCTTCTGGCCTTGACAGACACTGCACACACACACAGATATACATGCAGGGAAAACACTCACATCCATAAAATAAAAAATTTAAATACATACATAGAAATAAATTCTCACCCTAATAAACCAGTTACCTACATTTCTTTTAAAAAGAAAAGGGAGGAAAGAGGAGGGGAGGGGCAGAACAGGACTGGGGGTGCCAGAACCAAGTGGTCCGAGTTAGGATCTGGCTTGATCACGCACCAGCTCCACCTCAGCTAGTTGCCAACCCGTCCGCTGCCTTGATTCTCACACTATACTCACCCACAGAGCTGTGAGGACTGAAGGAGCTGGAGCATCCACTATACAGCTGTCTAGCAAAGGTGCTCTTCTGTGGCTGCTTCCCTAACGACTGGTGACTGGCAGCTGTGAGCCAAGGCAACCAGGCCCGAGGGACCAGGCCAGGCACACATGATGCTCAGCTCCCTTTACCTGATAATGTCCACACTGGCTAGACACAGTAAATGTCCCGTTTTCCATAAACCTCACTTCTGTGGGGCTAGGATCTCCCCCAATCTCAGAACCAAAGCTCCATTGTGATGAGGGAGGAGAATGACATTCTCCTGAATAACCAAGTACAATGATATATGTTTATTAAATGTCACAATGAAGCTGATTTCTCTGTATGCTAAGGCCAACACTTAAAAAAATGCCCCAACATGTCTGGGCTCCAGCTCCTCAACATGGACAGGCACTATGTTCTGCTGATTGGCATTTCGTGGTTTCTGAGCTAGACTTTTCTCTGGGAAACACAGGAAACACAGCTACTCGCGTGTGGATGGCATCTTAAACCTGCCATGAGGATTTGGTGCCACAGCCGACACACTCAGGGGCACCGCAGGCGGGACCAGGAGGAGCTCTACTCTCAGGAGCCTCAAAGGAGACTGCAGGCCCGTGTGCAGGCCCGCGCAGCACTGACGGGGGAGGGGCCAGCACTCACTTTGCCCTTGTGTGTCTCCTGCAGCCACTGGCGCAGTCTGATGAGGCAGCTCTCCTGGAGCGGGGTCAGGTCGCCCAAGTACCGCTTGATGTAGTCAGCGTCCAGTTTGTCTGGAATGGAAGGTGTGTGGTGTTACTGACCACGGAGCGAGCCTGGGTCGCCTCAGAGAGGCTGGTGTGCGGCAGGCAGGGTGTGCTGGAGTGTTTCGGGGCAAGAAGGCAGTCTAGGGCGATATCACTGATAACCAAGGTGAGTAATTGGTCTTTAAGATCAGATCCCGATAAACACAGGGAGGTTCTCCGCCTCCTTACTTACAGTCCTCCGCCTGTAATTTCAGTACTACTCAGGACAGGCTGATCGCTTAATAGATACACTTCATGTTCCACACAGGGCCTGAGTTCAAGGGCACTACACCAACTCCCTCCCCTAGCTGACCGTCCAAAGACAAACAGAATGAAGGAAGGTAAATTCCAATGTCTTCACAATGCTTCTCAGTGTTACAATCTTCCTGCGTTTTCTGATTTTCTCCCCTATTTTCTAAACCTTTTGTAACTAAAAATTAAGAACTTGTGCCCTGTGTATGTGCTTAGCACATAGAAATGCACACAAACAGTGGGCCCAGCCCTGACACTCACTAGCTGTGTGACTATTGACAAGTCACCCAACTGCGCTCTGCCTCAGCAAACCCACTGAACTGAGGGTTCGTCCACCTGGAGGCAGCCCTCATTAAAGGAGTAACACTGGTCACTGAGTGCTCGGGGTGGGAGCTATACGGAGGGAGCAGAGGCCCGTGGGATGGAAAAGCTGCCACTATCGTTACTGAAGGGGCCATCAGTCAAAACACACAGAGAACATTCTCGGGCCCCAATCAGTGAACGACTAGAAATAACGTCTATTTAGTGAAAAAGAACAAATGAAGGTGTTCTGGAAGTGGGAGGCTTGGGAGACAAGGTAAGACACAGATGGTCTTTCTCTTCTGTGCAAGGTCGACAGTTCTAGGAGACACAGCTGGACAGAGCCATGGGGGGAGGGGGGAGGCCCACGGGTCCCCTGGCTGTGCCAGACTCACCGTCAGGGGTTCCCACCACAGCCTCAGATGCTGTGCCTGGGCTACTGAGGCCCTCCCCGCTCAGCCCCTCCTTGAGGGCAGCAGCATCTGGGACCAGGACAGCTGCAGATGTGGTCTGACTCTTGCTTGCTGACAATGGTTCTGATGCGGGCCCCAGAGAGGGTGGGGTCCAGCGGGGCACGAAGGTGATGCCTTCCTCCTCCAGCTGCCGCAGGTAGTACTCGATGATTTCTTTCCCCTTTGAGGTAAGACAGCTATGATATATCATGAACCCCCCCCACTCACCCGTTTATAAAACATTACCCACACCAGCATCTGGGGGCTGTGGACATAGCTCTGTGGTGGAATGCTAGCTTAGCACATGTATGACCCTAAGTTCAACCCCCTACCCCCCACCTACCCACCTCCAAAATAATTCTCACTGGAAGCAGTGGTACACACCTGTGACCCTAATACCTGGGAGGCTAAAGCAAGAGGATTACGAGTTTGAGTGAACTATGGAAACTGTGTCTCAACAAGTAAACAATAAATTAAAACACAACCAGGCTGTAGTCATTCTCTCAGAGATGGCCACCTCCTTCTCCATAAAATCCCAAGAAAGACACTCACTTTTTTAATGTTGCTGGTATATTGTTTCATGGCAATTTTTTCCACTGTACTTTCAAACCCAAAGAAGGATTTGATATCTAAACTTGCAGATTGTTCAAAACAGGTCCAGTCTTCGTTCTCAGGGTGAACCTGCAAGCAGAGAACCCATTCCCACTACCACGCTCGCAACAGAGACATCCCGTCCGCTCCCGCTAGCTGACCAGTACCCAGAAGAAACCTGTTTAATGGCATCACTGTCACGAGGAAGGAGAAGGCAGGACAAAGCATTACCCAGATGGAGTCGCCATTCGAAGGTTCTAATCATAAACTCATGACTTTCTAAGTGACCTTTCACCTCTAGCCCCTTCATCTGCTCACCCAGCACCTGTACGTGGTGCTGTACGTGGACAGAAAAGGAGCCACACTGCTGCTCCGGCCCAGAGGGATAGATACGCCATAGGTAGTTGAGAGAGGCCCAGCAGGGCTGAAGGGCTAGAGACGGCATGGCTGGCTGCAGGGCACAGCAAGAGGCGGAAGGCTGGTGCGTGGGGAGGGGGTGAGGACTCCGGGTTCCTCTGCAGGGATGGGGAGTGCTGTGGGCTTGAAGAAGGGACGACAAGTGTGCTCAAGTGTGCTCCTTTGGATTCTGTGTGGAGGGCGGTGTAGGAGGCTAACAGCTGGAGCAGAGACCAGGAGGGGTTACTCTCTCTCATGCTCTGGGGAAGCAGCTCCTGCAATAAGAGCACGCAGTGAAGCCCAAGCTGCACAGATGCCCAGAGCTCTGCTCACAAAGACACTCAAGCTTGGATTCCAAACACATCCCAAGTGTCAGAAGCTGGGCCAGGAAAAAACAAACAAAACTTCATATTTAAAAAACCAACCAGGAAGCTGGCCTCTGTTGTCCAAATGTTAAAAGGTTTTTAAATAAAAAACCCAGAGCCAGATATTGGGGTGAAAGCTGAAAGATCAGAGAAGCAGAGCAAAGTACAGCCACCACCTCTTACCTCGAGGACTCCTCAGCCCGAAAGAGCCTCTAACTGAAAGGGACACTTCTGCTGAAAAGTCTTCTAGTCCCTGTCTCCTCACACCTTATCTACCTTTCTCCATCCAGCCATTAAAGGCATGTATGTGTGCTTCCTAAGTACTGGGATTAAAGGTGTGTGCCACCAGTGTCTGGCTGTTTCTCTCCTAGACTGAGTCAATCTCATGTAGTCCAGGGTGACTTTGAACTCACAGAGGTCGGGATCTCTGTGTCACGAGTGCTAGTGATTAAAGGTGTGTGCTACCACTGCCTGGCCTCTATGTTTAATCTAGTGGCTTGTTCTGTTCTCTGATCTTCAGGCAAATTTTATTAGGGTACACAATACATCACCATAGGCCTTGGTACTACATGCCTTTAGTCTGAGCACTTGGAGGCAGAGGCAGGTAGGCCTTTGTGTATTCCAGCCCAGCTTGCTCTACATAATAAACTCAGGCCAGCCAGGGCTACACTGTGAAACCCTGTTTCAAAAAAACAAAACAAACTAATCAGGAGCTGAGTGCAAGGGTACACTTATAATCCAGCATCACTCAGGAGACAAGGCAGGACGGCGGTAAGTTAAGGCTAGTCTGGTCTACAGGGCAAATTCCAAGACAGTTAGGGGTACAGAGCCAGTCCCTGCCTTAGAAACAAGAGCAGTTGGCAGCCTTGACTGCCACAACCACACAGCCCTTCCCCCAGCACGCTACATCAACTCCCCGACTGCCACTCATCTCGATGGAGCAACAGCAGCTGGTGCAGCACAAAGAACCGTCCTGTTAACAGTGGCTGCACGTGGCCTTGGGGCCCGGGGGCTGGGGCCACGACTCACCGTGTAGCAGCAGTGCTCATGGATGATGACCCGGTTAGAAAACGTCTCATTGTGGGCCTCGATGTGCAGAGTGCGTTCTCGATAATTCAGGGAGTTTTTCTGGACAAAATAAACATAATCGACTCCTGCGATCTTAAAGAAGAGACAAAGAGGGAGAGTATTTATTAACGGTGCTCTTGCTGAACGTGAACTTGGGCGGCTCCCAGCCTCCTATGTGTCCCCCTCCTCCAGCTACCTTCTTCAGCAGCCTGGGAGCGTCGATATCCAGCTTGCAGCGCCTCTCGATGACATGAACAGCCCCATCTTCACTCTTGAATTCGCTGACGGTGTCACTGTCCACGAACATTGGAATCAAAGGACATGTAGGGAACCTCCTTTCATAGGCCTGTGACAAATGGCAGGACAGAAGGAAATGACAGCCATCACTGCTGCACCCTTAGACAAAAAGCACCTTGTCCCCAGGCTGCAGCACAGCAATCTTCCAGAAGAGGGGAGACCCACAGTCATGGACTAGAAGCCTTGGCCTAGTGAGGATGGCAATTCTGCCCACATGCGTATGCAAGTTCAACACAGTGCAAGCCCCGGCAGGCTCTTCTTGTAGTTAAATGCAAGATGATTTTCGAATCTATGTAGAAGGCAAAAGAACCAACCTAGCTAATGTGACTTTGAAAAGCAATCCACAGGGAAGATCCCTCACCCTGGCCATGGTTATGCAGTTAAAGGCTAACCGCTCTGTACTGGGAGAGACAGAACCCCAGTGGGCCAAACAGATGCAGAAAACTGCAGTGTGCCGCTCCTCCTCCTCCTCCTCCCGGCTGAGAGGATGAACCCAGGGCTGTGTGTACAATCAGCACCCGCATAGCTGAACGCCACTGCACCTCAGGGTCTGCCTAAGTCGATTTTGACAAATGTAGAAATTCGATGCCGGGCGGTGGTGGCGCATGCCTTTAATCCCAGCAATTGGGAGGCAGAGCCAGGCGGATCTCTGTGAGTTCGAGGCCAGCCTGGGCTACCAAGTGAACTCCGGGAAAGGTGCAAAGCTACGCAGAGAAACCCTATCTCAAAAAACCAAAAAAAAAAAAAAAAAAAAAAAGAAATTCGAAGGAAGGAAAAAATTAGGATGGTCTTTTTTTGTTAAATATTTACCATGATCTAAAACAAAACAAAAATCCTCTTAATAATTAAAATGCAATCAGAATATGAATAAAAGCATTACGGTGCATGTCAGCAACCCCAACAGCTGGAAGGTGGAGGCAGGAGGATTATGAGTTCAAGTCCAGATGGGGTTAAGGAGTGAAACCATCATCTCAAAAAAGAGGGAAACAGGAGTTCCCAGGGAGCTTAGACACATGCAAACAGCTCCACATAGAAATGAGGAGCAGAGGGGCTGGAGAGATGGCTCAGCAGTTAGGCACACTGGCTGTTCTTCCAGAGAATGTGGGTTCAATTCCCAGCACCCACATGGTAGCTTACAACTGTCTGTAACTCCAGTTCCAGGGGATCTGATACCTTTACATCATTTCACATAAAATGAAGTTAAATAAATTATAAAAAAAGAAAAAGAAATGAGGAGCAGAGACGCCAGCCACTGGGAGACACAGACAGAACCACGCAGGCCACTATCACTGTGCACCACCACACTACACCACCAGATGACAGACACAACATACACTAAAAGCTGAGGAAGACGTGGAGAGAAAAACCCTTCAGATACCGCTGGCAGGAATGTGAACCACTGCCACCAATCTGGAGAGCAGCTATGTTCTAAAAACTGAACCCTGAACATGAAGCCACCAGAGAACCCAGCACCAGCCCGATGGGGTGGCAGACATGCAAGCTCAAAGCAGCAACGGCCACAAGTCCTTCAGGAAGTGCGCACACATGGAAAGGAATGACCCTACATTTGCACACACACAGTCCACAGCCTAGGGAGCCACACCCACAGGAATCCACTTGTACTGTCTGTCTGCTTTGCCCTGAGATGGGGGTCTCATATTTCCCAGGCTGGCCTCAAACTAACTATGTAACTAAGATGACCTTGAACTTTATATACCATTCAGGAAAAGACAAACTTACAGAAACTGGAAGCCAGAGGTTGCGAGGGGCTTTAGAAGGGCAGAGGGAATGGCTACAGAGTGGCATCACTGGAGCACATGAAACGGTACCCACCCGACAGTGTGGATGGACACTATTTCTGCAACGCAGTTCCACAGTGGAAACAGGTTTGAAGAGCTCATAGCTCACCATAGCAGCATTTTGTATTATTTTAATATATTATGAATCAACAATGATCTTAAAATAAAACTTAAGGGAAAGAAAGACGTGATGCAATTTGTGAACTCTATAAAATGTACCTAAGCACCAGGTTTAGTTGGCTCCGCAGCAACCCAGAGACTAGAGAATTACAGACACTGCTGGAGGGAGTGCCCAGGCATGGGAAACTCCATACTTGCTCTGCCGCCTGCACCCTCCATGAAGCAGGGGCACACAAGACTGGCAGGGGCCACTCCTCTGTAAGATTTAACTAAAAATGGGGAGAGGGTTTATGGCAATGTCTCTAATGAACCACAACCAAAAGCAGATTTAAGGAAGAAATGTGTGACAATGGTTAGAAAACACACTAGCTGCTTAGACTCTCCTGCACCCAGGTGGAGCCCCAAAGCACCAGCATGCTGGAAAGCACAGCCCCAGTGGAACAAGGTTGCAAGCCACTCAGCCCGCAGGCCCGCCCATCTGCATGCTGGTAGCCTCTGCCATGAGTACAGCAGACCCCCTCTGCCTGGGCTGTGGCTAGGACTCGATTCAGTCCTGGTTCTGGGTCATCACATCTGCTCATTGTGAAACTGTAGGTCATATCCATCTGAACGTACGGTTAGAAGGCACAGTGCTAGACAGCCACAGGATGGGAAGAGCAGGCAGCCAGTGACTACCACGCTGCAGAGGGCCCAGGAACACACACACAGTACTGCCTACTGAAGGAACCCGAGAAAACTCCAGCGTGACTAGGCGGTAGTGTGCAGACACACAGGACAGGCCTTGGGCCCATCGAGCTCTGTTTACAGTTAGCAGTGAGGGACAGCATGTTCCAAAAGGACAGGGAACTACAAGGTATCCCAAGGGTCGGGAATGGAGGAGGGGAGCGGGCAGCCCAGCAGGAACACAATGACACATGCATGGGTCCTTATCTTCCGGCAAAGTCCTCCTTAGGGACAAGGCAGCCCTCCTCCTCCTCCTCCTCAACAGGAGGGGAAGCGCCAATAGCAATGAGTCCCGTTTTCAGAAACCCAGTGAGTCATGTGAGGACAGCTTGGCAGGAAGGCAGCCTGCACGTGGCACTGATGGTCCTTCCAGGTCTAGCTTCACACAGGCCTCTTTCTCTCTCCACTCAAACAGATCCTGAGCTCCATGACAGCCAGAACCTCACAAGTCACACAGTGACCGCCTCTCCGTGCACTTCACCACCAACAGCCTCTGGGAAGTTCGTTTACCTGCTCAGATCACTCCACAGACACAGAGCTCAGGAGGCCCCAACTGAGTGATTCCAGGGACGAACTGCCACTCTCTGCCCAGCAATGCAGAAAGCATTGCATTAGAAATGGGGCTGGGGCCAGGCAGTGGTGGCGCACGCCTTTCATCCCAGCACTCAGGAGGCAGAGGCAGGAGGTCTCTGTGAGTTTGAGGCCAGCCTGGGCTACAGAGCAAGATCCAGGACAACCAGGGCCACAAGGAGAAACCCTGTCTCAAACAACAACAACAACAAAAAACGAAGGGGGGGAGGGACTGGGAGCTGGCCTTGCACATTCTGTCACTGACATACCAAGAAGTTAAGGACACGGGACTCCAAACTACAGCTCTTCTTAAAGAGCGGACTAGGAACCTACCAAGAAACAGCAAAGGGAGGAGGCTCTTCGTCAATACCTACAGCAGCCACTTTTAAAACACACCATTACATTCTTTTTTTTTTTTTTTTTTTTTTTTGAGTAGGTGGCAATTGAGACAGGGTCTTTCTTTTTATTTTATTTTATTTTGAGACAGGGTCTTTCTCCATGGCCAAACTCACAGAGACCCACCTGCCTCTTCCTCCTGAGTGCTCGGATCAAAGGTGTGTCGAGATCACACCTAGTGTTACCACTGCCTTCTAGAAGCTGAGTGGACCCCACGGTGCAGCCTGAAACTGAAACCACACTGAAGCCCTTCACTGCCTAGGGAGTCACACACCTGTGCAGTCTCACATGGCAGAGCCCCTCCCCTGTGCCTTGAGGTGACCAAGCAGGTGGCACCTTGGCCCTCAGGCTCAGGAGAGGCTAAAGGGTAGAGAGCCTCTCTCTTCAGAGTGCTTGCGAGCTCCTCTCCTCCCCTCCCCTCCCCTTCTCTCCCCTCCCCTCCATGCTTCTTCATCCTGACATTCGTTTGGCAGTATCAACCACAGGGCAGGGACCAAATCCTGCCTCTCTTTTCGTTCCCATGGAAATAAGAACCTCAATGCCTGAAACAAGGTCTTGTTAATAAAGTTTTTTACACTATGGGATAAGTTTCCCACACAAACAGTGACTCTAGTCTGCTTCCCACTCAGCATGGCCAATGAGTCCTGAAGACTGTGAGCACTGGAAACAGGGCTACGGGAAAGGAGACTGGGAAGGCTGGCGTGAATTCAGTCTCCAGAGTTCACAGACACCAACACCTAGTGTTCAGTTCAACAGCAGCTGCAACCCACGGGCCTCCCAGCCAGCGGAGAAGCAGCCCCTGAAGACAGAAGCAAGCCGCTCTCATGGAAACTTACTTCCCCTAGCTTATCCTATGGGAGGGCCAAGAAGCCAAGACAGGACACACCTGCAGTGTGCAGGACCCAGGCAGTCCTCACCAAGAGTTAAGCCACCACTGCCCATGAGGAAATCATCAGAAAACACACCTGTGCTTGTCCGAGCCCCAGCCCCACGCAGGACAGCAGGGCAAAACCTCTCTCAACATCTCCTTCGCCACTCCAGCTCACGGGCTGGATGGACATGGAGGCCGGACAGGAAGTCTCTTACTTTCAAAGCTGCGTTCTTCCCCAAGGGCCACACAAGAGCCAGGGGGCAGCGGCAAGCCCAGAGCTGTCCTGTCTCCCCAGGGCACATCCAGCTTCCTAAGCACACCCAGCATTCAGCAACATGAAAGGCAAGGACGGCTGAACAGAACCAACCGACGCCGGCACCCGTCACTTCTTGAGAGGGCAGGCATGCTCTGAGGCCCCTTTAAAGGAAGACTGGCTTTGGAAAGAGAAAGCTATGGTGATCGTTTGCACACTTGGTGTCTAAGGCAGCAACTGTTTGAAAAATAACAGCACTAGGGCCTCATCAACTTGCCTGCCCGAGAAGGAAGCTGCTCCTGGGGAACTAACCCTTC